AGGGAAAGGACCCTTTAAAGAGATTGTAAAAAGGGGGATTAGTTGGTATTTCCACCCCAGGTGTAAAGATTACACAAGGAGGAAAAGGGATGGAATTAGATACTTATATACTCTTTGAAATTTTGGACAAACTTGGAGAAATTCCTCTCGAGGGAAAGCTGAACAGCAATTAGCTCAACAGGCTTTAACACAGTTGACTACTAGATTATCAAATACATTTTCATTTAAACAGCTGCAGTCATCAAAACAGACTTTCAGACAGCTGAATGGCAAAAAAAGCACTGATTTTTTTAAATTTGCTTCTAATATAGGATTCAGAAATTACACTTCTCCATGGGAAGTTTGTAGGACAGCAGGCAGGAAGCACAGATGAGGAAAAAGAGACGGAAAAACTCAAGATGAGAAATTCAGGTGGCGACTTCATCACTTACCTCAGGACAGATAAAGACAAGAGACAGCAGAGGACCAGTGAGTTCCTGCAGCTGAGTGAGCACAGAATGATGATCGGGGGGGGGGGATCAGGCAGAGACTGGATCAGGATTAGCCTCTCGCAGGCCTACAGACAGAAAATCCTCTTTATCGCTCATGAAGTCTGCTTTCTTCTCCTTCTTCTCTTTACCTTTAAACCTGAAAACCTTTCCTGGTTTTACAATTCCAAACCTGAAAAACGACCTTGTGGGACAATATGGAAAATGCAAACTGATTGACATTATTTTGTTTATTTTTATGACAAATGTTTGATTTGAACTTTTCAGACAGATTGAGTTGTATCTGTGTGAAGCCGTTCTTGCATCTCAGGACTGCAAGACAGAAACAAACATTAAATTAGGACAAGTAAAAGTCAGGAATGATGTCTATGTTTAATCAAGTAATGTTAACAAGTGGTTGTAATCAGCATTTAATTAAAAAAAAAAAACATCTGAGATAGGTTGAGTTTTTAAGAAAAAAAATGATAAGGAAAAAAATCTTAAAGTTAAAAATCTAAATCATTGAATTGTTTATAGATGTGCCCCAAAAGACTTCAAGGAATTTGAAGAATTATCTGTGCATTGAGGGCTAAACGCCTAAAAACAACCATGATCTCTTCATTTTTAAATAGCCCATCAGTATTTTAAGATGCCTTTAAACACTTGCCAAGCATTTCCTCTGTCTTCATCATAACCTCAGTCTTCTCTCCTCATGAACATGTTTCCAACAAACGTAAATCTCATTTCTTCAGACGGCAGCCAGATTCAATATCTTCTGATAGTTTATTTGGCTCAATCTGTAAAGAAAAATCCAGTTAAGAGGATTATTCAATGCATCATTCCTGTCTAATATTTATAGATTATTCTTATGTTTATCTTCCAGGAGCGTCTTCTGTGACAATAGTTCTGCTAACTCCTCTGCTGCTTTATTTTACTGTATTTTAAAAATGACTCCATCTTCAGTAACACATCTGAAGCAGCTGTGTTTAAAGAGGTGGAGATGTGCAGTTGTTTATACATTTACATCAATCAGGGTTTTTTAGGGCAAGAATGAATATGAAAGTAGGTTGGAGCAATTAAAGGGAGTCCTGTATGTAGGTGACATGTTCTTCCATTTCTTAATTTTTTAAAGCAGCTTTAATTTTTCCACAGTCCAAATTAATACTTGTTGTTTTTCTCCTGATTCTAAATGGATCAAAACCATGAAAGTGTGAGACAATCTTTGCATTTTGTCAGATAGAATTGAGACTCCACTTCACTCTAAAGGTAAATAAAGATCAAAACCCGCACACAATATAAACAGTAAGAAACCAGTATGGATACATTTTATACCAAATCAGTCTGGTGCACCAGTTCATTCAGCACCATATGGTAGAAGAATCCCTACAGTATGACAGAATAACTGCCAGCACATTTGAAGGCCTTGAGCTGATGCTCAGTCTGAACTTTTTAAGATTTTAGTGAGCGTTTGTCACTTTATGATCTGAATAAATCATTCTTACTCTGTCCAAACAGTTCCTGAATTTAACAGATTCAAAGTTAGAGGCCAGGCTGACATGGTTTGGACACGTCCAGAGGAGGGACAGTGGGTTGGACATGTCCAGAGGAGGGACAGTTGGTTGGACATGTCCAGAGGAGGGACAGTGGTTTGGACATATCCAGAGGAGGGACAGTGGTTTGGACATATCCAGAGGAGGGATTATAAGGTGCATTAAGCAAACTAAAACATTTTGACAACTTTTTGAGCCACATAAAATCAGTTCCAGGTCAGTAAGTACAACCAGAATTAATACATAAGGCGCACCTGATTATAAGGCTCGCTGTTGATTTTTGAGAAAATTAAAGGATTTTAAGCGCACCTTATAGTACAAAAAATACAGTAGTTATTGTGGACCTCTAAACAGCAAATTACTTCACAGACACTGAAAATGCAGTTATTTGTCCTTTCAAGGCAACATTGCTAAGGTAAATCTTTTTAACAGCAGTGTAGCCCGAAGCATAATTTAAATCTCTTTAATTTCTATATTTGGTGGTTTCTGTCATTTTTTTTGTAAACTTTAGTTATTAACTTTTATTTAACCAGACAAATCCCATTATCACAGATCTCTTTTGCAACCTGGACCAACTTTATTTTGCGTCCACTGGGATGGATCTGCAGAACTGAAAAACAGTACCACTTTGGTAGCCTCATAAACTATTACTAAATAATGAGTTATTAATTAAGCTTTAAATGCCTGAGAAATTACTAATTAGCAGTTACATTAAATTATATAAAAAGTCAATCCTTATGTGTTTCTTGCCAAACAGTAAACCAGCATTTACTTTTCATTCATCAGTGTGCTTCATAATTTAGATGATCAATTATCAATTTATCAGTAAGTTACCTGTGTAAGCACCATTTGGTTTAAAGATATAAAGTTTGTTTTGACATAAAATGACTTCAAATAAACTGATCAACTAGTAATAAATCTTATCTGAATGAAATATGTCACAAAATGTTTGTGCTTCAGTGAGCAGCGTTTCAAAAACTCTGATTAATGTTTATATGGTGTTTGAAAACTTGTGAATACCGTATACATAAAGCATGAATCAACTCTTTATAAAGCTGTTCTTATTTAATGATGATTTCGTTTACTTGTTTACGTTCGTAAATCTCTTTCGCAAACATGTTTGTTCTTATTGGCATTTAACGCAGTGCGAGTCGATTTAGTCTGTTATTTTTCTTCAGAAATGTTTTAATTTTGTTTTATTGCTTTTATTTCTTCCATTGTGTTATTTTATTCTTGTCATCATGCAGGACTTTGGTTACAACTTGTCATTTTTAAATGTTCCTTTTTAACAACTTGACTGGGCTTTTTTTGTGTTATTTTTATTTATCTCAATCCACACACGCAACATGTGACGGTCAAACCTCACGTGTTTTATGGCACCAGATAGAAATCATGTTTAATCAATAGAATGATTGCTCACTTATTTTAGATGGAAACCAGAACTATAAGGCATGATGTATTTATTTCCTCTGCACCCACACTGAAAATCTTGTAAACAGATAAACACAAAACAAACACACAAGTAATTTTACAGTACAAACATAGCAATCTGTAGGCTCAAATGTGTTGGTAAAACAGACAGAATTACAGACACAGTGCATAAACGACAGGTTTGTCTGAAAGGAAACTGTCAATCATCTTTTACTTTTTACGTTGAAAGCTTCAACACATCACCGCGGTAAAACAAGCTGCTTAGTGTAGATGACTGAACTTTGAAACTTTGTGTGACACAAGGTGCACTATACAACTGTACCAGATTTCATAACAAAATGTGGTTTTATACCTTTTTTTTTTTTTCTGAGCAGCCACAGAGATAATCAGAATAAGCAGAGAATGGAGGTCCAGTCAAGTCAGACATGCACAACATGCAGCTGTTGTGTACATGCAACATTATTTATTATGTCCTCAACATGGACAAACAAGATCTGGTCGTTCAAATGCTACATTTTTTACTATACGTTGAAAGATGTTTTGTGAAAATCTTAAAAATTAAAAACTTGTTTTGTACAAGAGCACGAGGTGCAAAACCAGAATTCAACATAAATGCCAAAAAGACTAAATAAATAAATTAAACCAATGAAACAACAGTAAAAATAATATTCATTACAAATTTTCTTCATCGATCATGTTGGTGTGGATCTACTATCTACATAAATAACATAAATACAGAGTCAAAGGTTATAAATAAATAGGAGGTGAAACAACGATCGTACTGTAAGTCAAGCGAAGCTACATCTGAGAGAGTGCAGGAACTGTCCCGGTCTAAATGTGGTCTGGTCCGAGATCCTGCGAGGACTCTGGTGACACACATGAGTCCAGCAGGCAGTTTACAGAAGCCAAAACAATCAAACTGCACAGAAATGCTGCAAAAGCTTGGATTTAGCAGGAGGGTGTTATGTTAAAACAGCAGAGGGCGATACTCGCTCATGTTTTGTGCATTCACTTTGTTTACACCAACATGCTACAGTAACATTCAGTACACAAGTTTTATTTTCTTTAAAAAATAAAATAGCTTTTTTTTTAATTCGTTTTTCTTGTAATCTAGCAACTATATAAAGCTTTACTCTGTCAATCTGACAACGGTGGGGAAACAGACCTACACTAGTGGAAGGCACTGGAAACGTTTTAATTTGATGTCATTCATGTTGACAATTATTACAAAAATAACTACATGTGCAACAAGTCTGTTACTAAAGGTTTATTAAAGACAAATATAGAATGCATTGTTTCATCAGGGTAAAATCTGAAGCTCTTTATCAGTTCATATCAATTTGTGAGTTTAAAGTTTGCGTCTGTGAACATTTTGTCACACGTTGAGAATGCATAGTGGCTAAAAGGGTCGCCCTGGTTAGGGTGATGCATGACGAGTCTAGGGTCAAGGGTCAGGTTAAGGACCATTCAGACAGTAAGCTGAAATCATGCAAGCTGAATGAAGCTAAATAAAGGTTTTTTTTTGGGGGGGTGGGGGGGTGCTTCCTCCATAACACGGCGTGGAAATGCACAAGCAAGAGAACACAGACAGAGACACAAGCTCAGACATCTCTCACTTCCTGTGTATGCTACATCTCTGACATCTGTACCGCGTCACATCCACTGACTCCAAGCTCTCTTCCTTCCCTGCCCTCTCTCAAGCTGTCTGATGAAGAGTGCAACGTGCACCACACTCTTTACTGAGGAATGATGAGCACAAACAGCGACATGTAGTTTCCTCAAAACCTTTGGGCTCAGCATCCAGCACATTCATATCCTGTTCCTGGTCCTCTTTAAAAGACAATCACTCATGTCGATTCTCTTCCACTTCTTTTCAGTGCCCTGCAGAAGAATCCCTTCTTGTTTTCATGTTGCTCCCAACAAGTTGCTCTTGACTGATAAGATTGCACGGGCGTGTCACCCTCTGAGGTTTGGCAGGCTCTCACAGGCCACGAACAGATTCAGGCCGGCAGCCGGGGCTCAATCTTCAGCGAGAGATCATAGAGCGTGTCCTCATCCATGGTCAGACTTCTATCCAGAAGGTATTGAGTCACCTACACCAAAAATATATGATAGGAACAAGATACCATCAACCAAGGCTTACAGAGACGATACTGGTTGGGCAAAGTGATTAATTAATTAGATGTTGGCTGTGTTGTGATTGGTCAACTGGTGGCTCAGAGTCTTGAACTGTTTTTATGATTCAGCATTTTTCAGTCAGGTCATCTGGACAGTTTCTTTTTTTTTGTGCTGAAACGTTTCACCTTCGATCCGGAAGGCTTCATCAGTCAAGGAAACACACAACAAAACTGATTCTTCCTCCAACAGCTTACTCCAAAGTGGAACAAACCAGTTCTGCTTGTGATAAGATGGTCTCTTTGGTACACCCCCTCCTCCATTGCCGGCCATTGACCATCTTATCACAAGCAGAACTGGTTTGTTCCACTTTGGAGTAAGCTGTTGGGGGAAGAATCAGTTTTGTTGTGTGTTTCCTTGACTGATGAAGCCTTCCGGATCAAAGGCGAAAAGTTTCAGCACAAAAAAGAAACTGTCCAGATGACCGGACTGAAAAATGTTGGATTGTATACATGGATTATTGAGCATGGACTTTGTTGCTTTTATGATTATTTTTAAATGACTTTTATATCAAAAAGAGCTGCTGATTAAAATATATATATACCGTAGTTTAAAAAAATGTTACATATAGTACATTGCAAACATTTCAAACCACACTTCATTAAAAAAAAAAAGGTGGAAAGAGTACTGAAAATTTGTACTCAAGTACAAGTACTGTTACAATGCTTAAATTGAACAGTTAAAAATTAACAATTGCGGCTTATCTGAATCTGACTCCCCCGGTTGGCCTCGAAAACAGGCCGACATATCAATTTCTCCAGGGAAATGTGGAAACTAAGGAAAAGCTTCACCTATTGCAACCCCCCCCCCCCTTTCTGTGTGGGTTTATCATTATCAGAACTGTGCCTGCTGACCATCATCTGATCTTATCAGGACAATGGACTATCTGGAAGTGCTTCATGGACCGCCTTGTCGTTAAATGGATATATAGCATGTTCATAAATGTGCTGCTGGCAGAGTTTTTTGATGTTTTCAATCGTGTCCTGATATGACAAGGTGTGAAGAGATCATTTTTGTAATGCCACTATCCTCTCCTCATGGCTTTGTCTTTTTTTCTATTTAAAAATTGTATTCTGAAAAGGATAAGAGGCCGCGCTCTCAAGGAGCAGCAGCTACGTGCACGCCACCCTTCTTTCGGACGACTGTGCGGACATATTCTCGCTGTATCTCGGTACAGTGATAATAAAGCTTATTCTGAATTACAAGTCAAAGTACTGGTGTTATAAAAATACTTAAGTAAAAGTACAAAGTACTCTTCTCAAAAACTACTCAATTAATTACATTTTAACCAATTGATGTTTTATTGTGTTGCCAATAGAAGGTATTTCATTGGATTTACTGTATATAATAGCTACATTCAAAGCACATTTCTCAGACGCTCAGAAGCTCCGTCTTATTTTAGTACCAGTTAAACCGCTGGCAGTGACAATATCTAAGATCTTTGCATACTTAGCCAAACTAATAACCCACACATACAAACACTAAAAAAGCAATATCATACTGTAAAAGCTGTAAAACCTCATATACTGCAATATGTTTTTTGAGATTAGATGCTGAAGTCTTGTAAGCTGCTATCACAGTAGAGATCAAACAGAGTTTGCATCTGGACACTGTCTCCTTTTCACCCTCTTTACATGAACAATTCCTCCAGGTACGACCACGGGCACTCATCCTCAGCCTTTACCTCGTCCTTTTCTCTGTTGACAGTGTTGTCCTCTGTCTCTATTTTGACTTTTTCTCCAAATCTTCAGTCCATAAATGACTCTATACTCTACAGAGTTGTCCTTTGCTTACATCATAAGTAATTGGCTCATTCACGATCTGAGAGTCGCTACAAAGATGCAGATGAACAGTTTGAATATTAAGTCAAATTGCGTCCGTACTCAGTAGCGACTTATGATTTTAAAAGTAGCAAAGTAGATTACATGGTCTAAATTGTACTTAAGTATGAGTAAAATTATACTTGAAAGAAATACTCGTAAAAGTACAAATACCCAAAAAACTACTTAATTACAGTAATATATATATATTATATATATATATATATATATATATATATATGTATACATATATATATATATTTGTGGGTTTTTTCCCCCTTTGGACATTGGCTGCTTTTTTGTTCATTTTTAGTCCAGTTTATTTAGCTGTGGCAACATAATGTTCAGTATTTGAGTGGGACTGTAAAACAACTGACTCAAACACAATTGTAAAGAAAAAAATATCAGTTTTGCCAAAATTTAGAATCAAATTAGTCCAAATAATTAAAAAAATACCGGTCTACAACCATTTTTAACTTGATATTGTTACCTATGTAATTAATAACTTTTTTTATTGTTTCGAATTCATGTCTCTGTTTACAAAAGCAGTGTGAAATAAGTTTTTAAAACTGTATTATAAACCCAGTAATGTTTAAATCTGCTTTCAAGGGAAATAAAAGTGTTGCAGTTGAAAATAATAAAAGTACCTTGGCTTGGTGCTCTATCCTGTAAGGTGTTTGCTGGAACTGCCGGATCTCTCGGATGATGTGGGAAATCTAAAGGAGGTGCAAGATTACAGCACAAACCTGATGTGTGTGTAATCAACTTTAAATTTATTTATCTTCCTACCATTCTCATTTTGGAGAAGTTAACGAGGCCCTCCTCTGTAAAATTTGGAGTTCCTTCTTCTATAAAGGCCAAATCTGTTAGATACATTCCCAGGTATGGCACACATGGAGGGTTGCAGCTGAAATAACAAAAAGGGGTCAGAAAATAACACGTTTGAACTGTTTCAGTATCAGAAAAAGAAAAAAAAAAAGCTTTTTGTTCGTAATTCAAACAATTCTCACTTTTTCAGTGTCTCCCTCAGGTTTTTAAATCTTCCTTCAGAGGACACAGTCTTCTGCAGTTTGTCCATCAGAGCTTTAGTCTGAACAAAGACCACACATACACCAGTTTGAAAGAGTTATTGTAAACAACACTGACCTGAACGTATACTGACCTCTGACTCATTGACTTTTGTCAGAATGAATAAAATCCAATGAAAATGTCAATTTTGCTCTGGTCTCTGCAGAATGGCTTGATTTACAGACAGCTGACTGGATGATTATTACTTTAATCAGTTTACTGTTTATTAGAACAAAGAGCATAAAGAGGTAAACATTTTCCTGCTCTTTTATTTTTATAATGACAATGCTAAAGAAATTATTTATTGTACTGGTATGTACTTGTACACAGTGGTCAGTAAAATAGCTTTGTTGTGTGAATGCTAAGTCCACAGTCATGCTTTTGTTTTCAAGTTTATAGTTTTCCTGCATTTTTTATTTATTTTATTTTGCAATTAAACTACTTCTGCAGACTTTGAACTCCTCCATGTATCAAAATGTTTGGTATAATTGGAAATAGTGTACTAGAACCTTTAGTATTTGTAACTTTTACAGTATTTTTTATTTTTTATTATTTAGCTTTATTTACAAAAATTTTAATCCATAAAAACATATTGAGAGCTCTGTAATTCATCAGAAACATTGTTCTCTCATATTTACTTTAGCATACTTGCTCTGTTATTGTCTTCTTGCTGCTTTTAAATACAGTTTTAATTTAAGCTTTTAGCTCACATCTGACCAATGTTAGCATTGACCTATAGTTTGCATATTTTAGCTTTTAGCTACAGTATTCAAATTTTACCATTTATGCTATTGCTTGCATTTTGTATTATGTTTTTCTGTTGTTTTGAGGTACTGAAATTTTTCGCTTTTGACTGTATTTTGCCTTTTTTTAGTTCCCACTAACAGCTGTGCTAATTTTAGCTTTTATCTTCAGTTTTGCTAATTCTATTTTAAGCAAATGTTTTGCTGATTTTAGATCTGTTCTGCTTTCTTTAACTTTTTAATTCAATTCTAACTTTTTGAACAAGTTCCAACTATTATTCACCTCTCAGCATTCACTGCATTTTAGAGAAAATACTAATTTCTCTCATTAATTATGGATTTTATTTGCATAAAGGACAGGTGGATAAGGATTCTACCTGTTTGCAGACTTTAGCCCAGGTCTTCTTCAGACGGTAGATGGCACTGCGGTTGAGAGCAGATGTTATCTCCAGCACTCCGTTGTAGTTGTTCAGACAGCGACAGATGTCTGCCACTGCTACCCACTTCTCAATGGAGTTGGCTCTCGACCCAACATCAGTATGGCTCATAATCTGGGAAGCCACCAGGTTACTCATCTTCAAACAGAAAGAATCATGTATTAGTAAAAACATCTGCAACTTTTACAGAGAAAACAAAAAAAAGGCTGTGAGACATGAGGAGACTTTACATCATTGAAGTGTTGACTTGTTTTCATGATGTAGGGAGTCCTTTCAGTTTTGTCCACCTTCATCCAGCCCTGGCCCAGGAACTCCCTGAGGGAGAAAACAAAAACACATGATCTGTCCAGATTTGACCAAACACATTTAAGTATAGTACAAAAGTCTCAAAAATCCAAATTAAATCTAAATCACACAAAAATCCAATCCCTGGGACGAGTTAAAATGGTTGGATCTGTTGGATATGACTTGTATGTGTTACTAAAATACAAACACTTAAATTTATGCAAGATGCTAGTTCTTCCAGTTTAACTTATTTAGAAACCAGTAACATATAATGTTACACATAATGTTTTAGTTGGCTTCTAGTTTCCTTAATTGAGCTCAAGAAGACTAAGACGCACAAATATATAAAATCTGATGATCAGAATTTATGTGCATTACATTAGTTTCACTTCAAGTATAGATGAATAAGTTATCATAGAGAGAAAACATATACATTTGAAACTAAAATAAAAAATACACATTTTAATTCCTCTAATTTTATTAACCAATTATATGCATTAGAAAATGTTTTGTTACTTAGCAAACGTAGCATGTAAACTTGTGTTTGGCAGAACAATTGTAGAGTGATTGATGTCTCTGTAAAAGTGTCAGAAAAATCTATTGGATTTACAAATTTGACGTTTTCTCTTTTGTTTAGCCAAAAACATGCAGAACATTCATGATGGTGGTTTCGGTCGCCTTGATGAAAGCATGTAAAAAAGAAAGCGTTCTGAGAGGACTGACTCATAGGGGATGCTCCTGAAGACGATGTGATCGAGCAGAGTGATCTGCTCAGCCAACTCCATCGCCGACAGAGACTCAAAACACTCTGCCTTTGGACAGTCCGCCTAAATAACACACACAGAAACATACTCAGAAATAATCAGAAACAACAAGGAGGTATAAATATCTAACAGACAGAGGCTGTGATGAGCTGATGACAGCCGACTGTCCCCTGGAGACGGACGCTCATCAGAAGGTGTCTTGTCCTCCAGTGCCTGCTGGACAATGAGCACTGACCCAGACTTTACATCTTACAAAAATACTGCATGTCTGTATTTTGGGTATTAAAACAGCAGGATTGAATACAATGATTTTTTTTCCATAATTCAGAGAAGTGTTCTGCAGTCAGATTATATTCAAGCTGAAGAAACAGATTTGCTGTAAAAATACAGTTTGAATGTTGAGCGCTGAATGGCTTTGCTGAAGGAGCTGAAACAGAAATGGTGAAGATAAAGGAAAAGAACTAGCTAAAAGCTGAGAGGTGCAACCCCCCCTGCCACACACACACACACACACACACACACACACACACACACACACACACACACACACACACACACACACACATATACACAAATGCCTGCTAAAAACAGAAAAGCACTAGCTAAAAATATAAAGTACCAAAAGTCTAGCTAAAAGCAAACTTAACAAAATGGTAGAAAATAAAAGTGGGAAAGGAATAGCTAAATCAAGTTACTAGCTAAAAGTTGCAAAAGGTTAATTAACTGCTATAGGTAATAGTAGCTAAAAGCTAAAGTGACAACAGGCTAGCTTAAAGCTAAATGTTGCAGAACTGTAGCTAAAACCAAACAAAATAAGCAAAAAATAAGATTGTAAAAGTGGCAGAATAATAGCTAAAAACTAAAAGTAGCATAAGACAAAAATAGAGAAAATATGCTGAAGGAGATTTAAAAAAAAAACCCTGT